CACACACACACACACACACACACACACACACACACACACACACACACACACACACACACACACACACACACATATATATATATATATATGTTCATGCACACTCACGCATAGCCTGTGTGAGCGTATCCGACCCCCGCAGTGTACCGACCCCGGCTGCGTGCATGCTTCTCACGGCCCTCCCCCGTCTGTAGGAGATTAGGGGCTACACGCCGACCACCTGGAAGACAACGGTGACGTGGATCTGCATCGTGCTGACCGCCGGATTACTGCGGGTCGTGTTCCACTGGAAACCGGAGTGGATGCTCTCCTGCACGCACTCACGAAGCTCCCTGGCAACGGCCGTCAAGTTGCTGCTCAAGGTGACACCTCCCCCCTCCTCCGAGTCAAATGCTAGGATGTTGGGTGGACTATTTTTTTACAAATGCTAGGATGTTGGGTGGACTATTTTTTTACAAATGCTAAGATGTGGGGTGGACTATTTTTTTTACAAACGCTAGGATGTGGGGTGGACTATTTTTTTACAAACGCTAAGATATGGGTGGACTATTTTTTTTTACAAACGCGCTAGGATGTGGAGAGGAACTATTTTTTACAAACGTTAGAATGTGGGTGGACAATTTTTTACAAAGCTCCCGAAGCTCCCTAGCAACGGCTGTCAAGCTGCTGCTTAAGGTGACGCCTCGTCCGCCCCCCCCCCCGAGTCAAATCAATCTCACCACAGAGATGATAATTGCTCTCTTGTTTGTTGTGGCGGCGCAATTTAACGAATTAACAATTTAACAAATTACTTAATCAAAAGCCGATAGTCACGTGATATCTGTGGTGAGATTGGAGTCAAATGATTCTAGGATGTAGAGGGGGGACTATGTTTTTTTTAATAAACACTATGGTGTGGGGTGGACTATTTTTTTACAAGCGCTAGGATGTGGAGGGGACTAATTTTTTACAAACATTAGGATGTGGGGTGGAATATTTGTTTACAAACGCTATGATGTGGGGTTGACTATTATTTTACAAACGCTAGGATGTGCATGGGGTAGACTATTTTTTATTATTTTAGCGTTACGTATAATATAATGATAATATTACTTAAAGTCAATTTATTATAAAGATAATGTTACTTAGAGGCAATTTACTATAATGATAATATTACTTACGCGCACGTATATTTGTCTCTGAAACGCGTTCTCATACCGATTTTCTAAAATTTATGAAGTGAAGTCTATATACACAATCTTCGCGGAGTTATGAACTACGACGTAAGCATCGATGGATTTTTGGTAAATTAAAAATATTTTATTCAAGTCGCATGAATTTACCACCGATATCGTCAGTTCGTCTGCAGTATTTACAAACGCATCCTGTACCTATCTGTTTGCGCTGAAACGCTGTTTGGAGTGCACCCATCTTACACAAAGTCGCCCGATCTCTTACAGGATCAGTACGAACAGTGGTTCGTCGAGAAAGTAAATGTCCATCGGGCCGAAGAAGTGAGGTAAGATAAAAAATAAAAATAAAAAATAAAAAAGGAATGCCGACATTTAAGAAAAGGATCACATATAGCTTTACTTCGCCGTTATTTACTTTACCGTTGGGTGAACTCCCCAGATTGAACTGTTTCAGTATGCGCGCTCGCTGTCTGTAAAGGTGTATGAATTAAGCCCGCACATAGTTGTCTCGTTTCGCGTCGATTCTAGATCGCAATGCTCAACTCGCGTGTTATTGTATACTAATGCTCGCTCCTTCTAAAGAATCTACTGATAAAGTATCTAGCAAAATAAGTATCGATTACTAGATGATTGCGGGCGCGCGTATGCTTGTACGTGTGTGTGTGTGTGTGTGTGTGTGTGTGTGTGTGTGTGTGTGTGTGTGTGTGTGTGTGTGTGTGTGTGTGTGTGTGTGTGTGTGTG